TCAGACAAATGCTAACATTGTTGATCATTTGTTGTTGTTCCACTGAACAATTTTGATGGACCTATGTTTAGTTCATTCACTCCCCTTTATGATACAGTGTCAACAGAACCCAAACAGAATCCTGCTAACGAAGACAATCTTAACAACTTGACTGCAAAATCTCTGGAAGACCCTAAACCTCCACGGAAGGATACTTTTCAGGTGAAATCTGGAATTTGGGCTGATTCATTGAGCCGTGGATTGATTGATCTTAATATAACTGCTCGTAAGTATTCCTCTGTCGGCGGTCATTTATTCTTTCTTTATAGCCAAAATCCATTTGCAAGTGGTATGGTGTCTCATTTTTTGAACTATAATACTTAGGCAAGGAGAAAGTTGAAAAATGAAAAAGCGAAAAACTGTTAGAATATTACATCGAAGTCTAACACTAATGCATTGCAATTGGGACCTTCTAGCCAAGAAGGTAAATCTTGCAGATGTTGGCATCGTGGGTGGATTGAGTGATACAGATGAAAGGGGGAAAGGACCACCAACTTCATTTACATGGGAACAGCAATGGGTTCAGAGTCTGGTCTTTGTAGGACAGGTTATTCATCCTCACAAGCAACTGGAGATGATTTGTTCTCAACTCTTGGTGGCCAACATTTTCATTTCAATGGCTTGAAGAAGTAATTTTCCTCATTTTCCCTTGACATTCTTTCATCCACTTGGTTATACGTTGAAAATTGTATTCAGTTGTGCTGAAAAAAATAAAAGAAGGCCAAAAGCAAATTGTGTTGTCCTAGTTGTTCGAAACAAGTTGAAAGTTGGAACCGTCCAAAAACTTTCAACCTGTAGCAAGAAACGACTTGCACATGAAAAATTGAGGGTTTGGGTGTTAAAATGATTATACATGAGCAATTATAAGTTGCCTAGAGGAGAATAATTAGCACTATCAACAAATTTTCATTTTACTTATGGTACCCAACCGTGTGTTTTAAAACTTAATTTGTTTTCATTTTCTAATTAGGCATCTAGCTTTGCCTAGAACATGATACCAAGTCATGCAATCATCGAATAAGACGATCATATCCATGAAACATAAGAAGGTTAGGCAAATTCAATCTTCTGAGGCTGATGTTCATTATTGCAAACCATTTGAGGAACCAAAAAGATTTCCCTAGTATATTTCTAGCATTCTTCCCCTCAACATGGCTTCAGCTTTTCTCACTTGCTTCACAGGGCCGATTATGAAAACCTGCATGAAAATAAGGGACACTAGATATCTAAGCGGTGCAGATTCTATGTTTTGAGGAAAGTCCACATAGCTGCTAGACAATAACACCACAGGTTATTCTTAGATCTCATAGACTAACCTTGTCAGGTGGACCCTTAGTACCCCCAAAGAAGATTTCCGCACTGCAATATTGAATTTGATTTTCAAGTAAATAACGAGATGACTAAATTCATTCACACTAGATTCCTGCACTGAAAAATGAGAGGGGAAAGAGTAAGGTGTTGAACAGGAGAGAAAAATATTACTTGCAAGATTCCTTTATTGACAAAATGGAGGATCCTCTTCTGCCAATGATACATCCCATTTTCCCTTGGGGAACATCAAGAACCGAAAGTATTTCTTCCTCGGGAGCATTCCCTTCTGCCATCAAGTTATCTGCACAGACAAATCTTATAATTTATGAAATATCTATCCAGGAAAACAGTACACCTTTAGTCCTGTATAAGTATCTAGATTCTAGTTTGGCCACTTCCATAATATCCCAAAATCACACCAATTAAAAAAAAAAAAAACTATTTTTATAGTTATTTTTCAAGGATTTGAAACATGAAAGACTTAACCCATATTTAGTAAATTAGTATCGCCGTTAAGATTACAAGAACCTGGAATGTAAGGGAGAGGGGTCCAATCGGCATAGTCATTATCATTGATGCAGAAACATCGGCAATACAAAGCACCACGAACTGAGAGGTACCATAAGGATCGTCCATTCAGTTTCTCCATCATCTTATGATAGATGCAGAGGAGAAATCGAACATCATCTGCAGCAGCACGGACCATTAGCTCTGATAATGGCCTGTAAATCCAAAATTTTGGATCCTGTAGGGTAAGACCTACCATTTGTCAGAAGACACAAGTTGAAATATAAATTGCAACATGCAATTCCATTCTGAGTAAGATTGTCACAAGGTTTAGAAAATGTGCAGACAAGATGAATAACCAAAGGTCAAAATAAATCTGACACAGAGTGAATTATAAGTTTTGAATTACATGAATTGTGATTGGTATCACAAATCACATTATAAGTTTCTCCTTGATCTCATCCAGCAGCTAGATAAAGCCAAAGGCCAAAAGAAAACTGGCACAAAGTGAATTAGGAACTGGGAGAAAGGGAAAAACCATATGCATGCCATTAGAACAACTGCTAATGTTTCCCAATCAGTAGCTAGTTACTACACCAGGAAGCAAGCATTCTTTCACACAAATGTACAAGCTAGAGACAAGATAGCAAATGCCAAATAACTATGGAATCTAGAACAATGCATTTGCTGAGAAATATTACTCTATGAAATGTTCTAAAAGTCTAATTACCCTGTCAATTCCATGTTATTCATAAGATAAACTAACCTGCCTAAGAAGGACACGGACCTCTTCTTTTTCCTGATATGATATGCCTGCAGTCAATAATTAAGGTATAAATCAAAATCATGCTCCAGATGTCACTTCATACATCATATTTTACAAGTTCAAGTATAACTAATAACAAATTAAATTCAAGCTACAGTCATCATAAGAAAGTTAAAAGGAATAAATGAATTCGTTTTAAAATTTTAAAACAACTAAGCTGCAGGCAAAAAGCTCTATGACCAGCATTAATTAAATTCAAATGGATACCACGGCACATAAAATACCACAATAACGTGGATCTGCAAGGAGGCTAACAAATGATATGTAGTCATCATGCAATCTTGTCCGTCCCTCTTGCTCCTCTATAAGAGAAAAAGCAATCTGCATGGAAAAAAATGAAATAAAATAAACTAGGTCCAAAAAACTGTTCTAACCTCTCTCCGAATTCATTCCAAATTTCCAATATGAAATTTGGATATAGTCTCATTATGACATAAACAAAAGCTGGACAACAATCTCATCCAAGGTTTTCAACAAGTCCTAAAAGAATGCTCACCTGTGTATCCATGACATTATGCAACTTGATTCCAAATTGAAAGTACAATGCCTACAACAACAGGTTAACTTCAGGCCATAACACATATCAACAATAGCATGCTGCATATAAAATCCAAATGAAAACAAATCAATTAGACACCTCGCTATCTCGCTTGCAATCGTGAATAACTTTTGTGATGTAACTAGACTCAAGTGCAGGCTTACAGGCTTTTACAAGCGTCTCACCACCCTCAATGGCATCAACCAAGTATATTGCATCAGGAAATGCAAGCTGCCAGAAAACACAATCTCTAGTTAAAAAGGACAGAAGATAGATTAATGAAAGGTAAAAACAGAAATTCTTCAAAGAACCTCTACATACAATAAATTAAATAGCAGCAGAACACAGTAAAGTGACATAAGAATTCTAACTAACCTGCATAATACAAAGAGTCCCGTGCCGGCACAGGTCGACACCTTCACAATCGAAACCGATAACCAACGGATCCTGCGGCGACGGCTCCAGGAACTTCGCCGGGAGTTGAGAAGCACTGGTGACTATATGTATCGGAACCGCCGGAGCTTCATGATCCTCAGGATTGCCCCCTGCAACCACAGCACATTAACCAAAACAAAACCAAACACATCAGCGTCAAGAAATCGCGAGCTAGAGAGGATCAAAGAAAGGCGAATTAACAAAAAAAAAAAAAAAACTAATTAAAGCTTAACCCAGGCGGAAATCGAAAGATCAAGAAAACGCTAATTCAGCAATCGAAATTAATCAAAACAACTGTGATTACGGAATTAAGAACCTGAATCAGAAGTAAGAGGAACTTGTGTGTAATGCGAAGAAGGATTGTGCGAGGACGCCATGCGATCGAAGCATCCAAGCAGATCGAGTTTTTGTTCGCTCGGAAAACTGAGCGGATATTTTTAATTTTTCTACTGATTTCCCTATTACCAGTCCATTTTCCGGTTCAGGGACCAAAACAGCAGATTAGAGGTGAGATTTGCTCTGGTGCGGAAAGCAATATCATAATATAGGAGAGCTCGCCCTTCTCTCTTTGCCACGTCATCAAACAGTTGCGTAGCTGCGAGGTAG